GCATTCTGCCTGCTGATTATGCAGTGAGACAGGCAGCTTTATAAATATCTCATCACTCCATCGTCACACAAATTTCATCGACAGTGCTCATGCACAGCTATTAGCAATATGAATCTAACCATTACAAGAGGAAAGAAAATCGAACATGTGGCATTAATACGCAGTTCTGGTTCCTAACCATCTGATAGGCAGATGGTGTAAAGCGGATTCTCCAGCTGAAATGAAGGGGCACATCATTTAAAACCTTGTTTGCATTCTAACTGATATCAGTGCCATATTGATATACATGATACATCATGGCAGTATTTGAACAATCTAGTTTGTTTCAGTCATAAATGTTTACAGCCTTGTTTTTTATCTTTAGAAGCATGTTCTGAAGAGCGTATTTTTAATTTATGAAACCTATTGTTTACTTCTGTTGAACCAGAAGATTAGCGAAGAGCAGGAATATTAAATTACCACAACCACAGCAGTATAACTAAGATGGATGAATAAAGTATGGTTTTTCAATAAAAGATGTTAGTAAAGGAATTAAAAAATTAGCCTAGACATTTTATGCATTAAATACATTTATTCATTTAAACCTTACAGCTTTTTTCCCATGTGACATACTTAGAACTTTAATGCTTTATAAAGCTATTCATTTAAATCTCTTACTGTGTGCAATTAATCTTGTCCAACAATTTAATTCAAAAAGCAAAACATCAGAAAGTAAAGTTCAATTCAACCATCACGCTTCTGAAGTAATCTCCATATTGCTGACAGTTCCTATAGACTCATCAGCAAAAGTCTGTTCAAGGTGTCTTGTAGGAGCCGTGTGAATTTGAATTACAGCTCAATTGAAAGCTCTCCAAGCCTTAGTAGGAACTCAGGAACAAGAAGCAGAACACCAAAAGAAAGCGTGAATGATCCTTTCCTACAAAGACCTTCTCTCTTCTGTCACTAGATTACTTTGGCCTGTTGGGTGTGTTTGTAGCTGTTAATTATGTTAATAAAGTTGCAGCCTGCTGCCTCTGCCAAATATAATCATAAGCTTTCTCCTGCCAAGTTCTAGTCTAATTTACACCCGTGCAACTCTACTGAAGTCAGAATTTTGTGGGTGAGAATGAGACCAGAAGTATGCCCAGTATGTGTGGTCTCTAATGCTGAAAAATGAGTGAATAAAATGGAAAACAATGACAAAAAAACATCGCGTCTTCAGGAAACAATCCTGTTTTAAAAGCGAAATGCCCAAGAGAGCCGTCATATATCATGACAGATTTTCAAAATGTGTAGGAATTACCGGTGGGCACTAAATCACATCTAGGGTTTCTGCCTTCCAACAAATACTATTCCCTGCTTTAAGAGAAAGCTCTTAAAACTTTCAGTTTTGATGGCACAAGCAGCGTGCAACACACACTATTTGTGAAGGAAAAAAGAAAAAGACTTATCAGTGTAACTTTTTCAACCTTAAATATGTCTCAAAATACACATTTCTGAATTACATGCCTAAACTTGGTCCTGGGACAACTTACAAAATTATTT